GTGGGTGCTGCATTGCTGTTGGGCCGACTTTGTTGCGTCGGTTGCAATGGCCACGCACGATACGAGTCAGAGAGGTTTTTGATTGACTTGCACGTGAGAGTAAACATTTGTTTTGTGTCTTATTGTACCTCTGTGGTGTTTGCTGATGCATGCGTAATGCGGACGGACGCTACTGGAGGCAGTACGAAGAAACCGAGGCTGGATGGACCTCCTGTGGCAATGATTGGAGGATATGCTGGTCGAGGAGTACCACCGCCAATGTTTGGTGGCGGTCAAGACCTCTACCGATGCCGTTTCCAGGAGGCATGGCACCGCCTGGTGCAGGGATGGCCATGCGGCCGCCCCCACCTCGAGTTTTTTGCTCCTGGCGGCGTGATGCCGCCTTCTCGGGCACCAGGCTATCCTGTGTACAAAGGTGGCATGCCACCGCAATGGCCAAGGGGACTAGTGCCACCCGGCTCGATGGGTTCTCCTTCTCAAGCTGCACTTGGCTATGCCAATCAAGGTAGACCGGTGCCTGGGATGGGTGCTGCAGCAGCTCCTTTGGGTGTGGTAGTCAGCAGTACGAACATTTTCGATGGGGCAGCGCAGAAGAAAGTGAAAAACGACCTCAGGCTCGTGTATGCGGACGAAAACGTATCCATGGTACGTGTTGGATGCTTAGGACGCACGTTTGTTCATGAGTAGCTGATACTGAGACACGGTGTATGGCGTTCTTACAGGAAGAGAAGCGTGCACTTCGACCGAAGCGCGTACAAGCTACTGAGGAGCAACTGCTTTTGCTGGTGGGAACAGAGTAGAATGAGACGAGTGCGATGCATTGCTAGCGCAGATCAGCCATCACGATGAGGTTGGAGGACCTCAGCGCGGATGAGGTTGTTTAGACGATGTTGTGCACAAAGGTTTCGGCGGCGAACGAATGGTACTGTTCTTGCTCTCGTCCTCGGTGATCAAGGGATAAAAACAGTGGCTTTCCTTGCTGCTGCTCCCTCACCAGTTGCTCATGGTTAGCTCCCGTGTGCTGCTTTGCCGCTCGAAAGGGTGTTACATTAAAAAGCGCCATCGATGTACGAGTTATGCGTCACTACCATACCGTACTATCCTCCCTGACTGCTACTTGTCTAGCGGTTCAATTGTTGTAGATCAACATGCACTTCGATGCGCACTGCGTGGTCATGGGACTCGATGTGTCCCATCACACGTCTGCGTAGCCGCCGTACTTGCGGGAACAATGACTCATGAAGGGACCCAGCAGTAGACCTCCGGTCGTGATCCAAATCACCCTCATGGTCGCTGTCAGCATCCGCGTTGTTGCCGGCTTGCGCGCCTGTATCGACGTCAGCCTGACTCCAGCGCTTTTTCCAGGTGGGGGCGCGGGTCTCCTTTCTGGCCGGCCGAGGGGTTTTTGCTCGAGCTGCTTGTGTTGCTCGTGAACGAAGACGCGGACTTGTAAGTGGTTGCGGGTACGGTTGTTTGCAAGGTGCAGCCGCAGCGTCACCTCCCATTGATTGGAACTCCCTCAAGTTGAATCCCTGCCGCGCATTGTCCTCACTACGCCTGTTGCCGATGCTGCCAGTAGTAGATTGGCTGTTGTATCTCGGACGGCCGAATTCAGAGCCGTGACCCACGGTGCTATCGTTACCAGGATGGAGAATTGATCCACGGTCCCCTGCGCCTCGAGCACCAATTGAAGGTGCTGGCGTATCGTGGTGCGAAGGGAACACGTTGGACGAAGAGGCCACGGAGGTCCGATCTTCCGCCGCTGGTTCCTGCCAGTACGCTGGACTGATAGGGCCGAACGTTGGTGTCCACAGCCGGCGGCTGGAAATTCCCGTCGTCCGTGTAGTGACTTCTCAAGTAAGTACGGCGGATGAACCTGGTGTGCGTCCCTTCATCTCTTCTTCGGTCACGTGGCGATGTTTGCCTTTATCGTCGCTGACAACCGTATTGAGCTCGACGAAAATGCCCGTAAGACTCATGACCAGCACGAGACTCGGCAACGTGAGTGGCGTAATGACGAAGAGCGACACGGCTGGGAAAAAGGCCATGACAAAGTCGACAGGAACTCTTCACCATCCCTGACATTGGTCGAGTCTGTCAAGTTCGCAATTTCAACGAGCGAAAACCAAACCAGGTAGAAAGCTTGACCGATTGTGAAGTGAACTGGAACATGCGCAGCAAAAACGTGGGGCTGTGGAACCAGAACCGGTCGTCGTGGTAATGCAGTTGCCGGTGACAAAGTGCAGACATCTGCATGCGAATAACAGCACGGACAGCAAGCGCAGTTGACTTGAACAACTTGATTCCCCGTTTGGACGGAGTCCGCAGTTTTTTTGAGCCCTCTCCCAGCCGATGAGTCGTGCTCCTCGCCGCTCGAGTCGGGTGACAAAGCAAGTGCAGCCTGTTGGCGCTTTGACGTGAGACGGCGAGAGATTCCACCAGCACTTTCGTGAATCGCGCGTCAATTTCTCGTTTAGAAATGACGTGGAGACGGTCGTCTACGATCCCGCGCAAGATCTTCAGCACCTTGAAGAAAACGACAACGTTCACCATCAGCAGGATAAACCCCACGCCCATGAAGATCCATCGATCCTTGTCAGGAAAGAGCGTTGGCAACAGGCAGATGACGATGAAGATCAGGTATGCGCTTGGAGGGATATGGGTCATGTGGAGCAGCATGTTGCGCATACAGAGCACATGGTACTTGGCGTATGTCATGGGTTCTTCGCGATGCACGTCGTGTGCATTGTAGCCACCGGCTAACTTTTGAAGTCTGGAGTGGTAAACTTGAGCAGCCGGCCGGATCCCAAATAGTCGTTCCATCTCCACAGGGTTCTTGTAGATGTACCCGCTTCGGTTCTGGCAGATGTTGTACGCGAGGATTTCAAAGCTCTTCCACAAGTTCCATTGCTTGTGAATGTTGATGCGCAAGCACCATCCTTCCCGTTGGTATCGCTGGAGAAGAAGATTGTATGCTCGTGAGCCAATGACGAGGTCCGTGCCGGACAATGCGCGTTCTCGATTCGCCATCATGTGGTACACGCCGTCCTCGTCAAAGTTTTGCTGGGACTGCACAGAGAGGTAGTAGTCGGCATGTGGTCCATGTTCGGCGTCACCAGTGAAACTACTGCTCCTGCCGTGAGGATTGAGTTCACGGTCCAGAAACGATGTGCCCCGGATGAAGGAGTGGCGCATGCGATGGTTGTTACCAGTACAATCGCTGCTAAAGCCGGTGCTGAAACTTGGGTCTCGCGTGTCGTACGTGTCGTTGCCGTGGATGTCGACGGTGCCATCATTGCAGTGGTCGGGCGACTTTTTGATGTCCCAAATCAGCTTGGGCACGACGGTACCAATGAACAGTAGCAGCAAGACGATGATGATGAAGTAAATCATCGTGAGGAACACAATGTAGTGGAAGAACTCGTAGAAGCGGAGATTCTCGTACGGCGTGAGCTCGTTCAGCGTGAGCGACACCATGGCACCGCTCGTGTTGAGCGCAAAGATGGTCATGGAGAGGAACCCCATGATCATGATCTCCTCAAACATGCGGTTGACAATCTTGCCGAGCTGCGGACACTTGATAGAGCCGCGAATGTGGTGGATCAGCTTTTCCACGCCAATCGACACGACCACAATGACTGCGAGCAGAATCACCGCCGTCTCAATGTTATCGTGCAAGCACTCGGTGTTCCCCACACCAAGGAACGACTCCTTGTTGTTGCAGTACGGGCTCCGGATTGGCCGCTCTACCGTGACGTTCGTGGACATCGGTTCGTCTTGACGTTATCCAAGCACGGGATAAGCAGCAGCGGTAGCAGCAGCAACAACGACAGCAACAACGACGATGGCTACAGAGACCCACAGAAAGCGTCGAGGCCTCGAGTCGAACGCAGCTACCAGTCAGCCAGCCAGTCGAACGATCGGTCGACGGACGTCCAGTCGAGAAACACCTCGGCGAGGCTCTTGCTTGTGTACTCGGTTTTGACCGTTGCTGAACGAGGCAAAAGCGAAAGTGATGACTAGCCCCGACAGCCGTAAACAGCGAATCTCCATACGGCTAGACAACCCTGGCCATACTGCATCGCCTCCTTGCAGAGCACTGCCGATCGTCTACGTGACACAGACGCGCGCGATCGAGCGGGGCTCGACCAGTAACCAGCGAGGCACACGCTGGGCCGAAGAGCCGGACTGCACGTCGGGCGTGATGGGGACCCAGCAGAACCGAGCGCCAATCGTCTCGGTCTTTGTATGCCCGTGGCCTCTTCTGGCTCGTTTCTACAAAGCAGTCTGGGCCCGACGAATCGGCCGGAGGGGTGGGGGCCCGGGCGAAGAGCTCTTTTCGGCCGAGAACTGAACCGCAGAACAGACAGACGGGCCGGGCGTCAAGTCAGACCCCATGCACGCGCCCACTCAGAAAATAAAGGCTTCGAAAGAACACCTGCACAGACGACGACGTCGCGCTCTGTGCGCCCGGGATAGGCGACGTCCTACTCCCGACAACGCATCTCGTCGTGACATGGATGTGCCCATGCGCACGCGCCCAGGATGGGTTCGTTTGCTCGGCACGAGAGCTGCGCTGGGCACGCACGAGCGCGTCTCGGCGTGCCAGCAAACCACGTCGCACCTACGCGTTGGACCGCTTGTTTCTGGCCGTCCGCCGCACGGATCGAGGGCGTGTTACGGTGCTGCGGTCTATTGGCAGAGTGCAATGAGGCACACACACCCTTCGGTGGGTCAGCACGCAGCAAGGCGAGCTACGCGTCGGACGACTGCTCGCTTCTGTCTCGGGGATCCAGAAAAGATACGACGCGCCCGATGCTATGCGGGACGTGAGCCGGCGGTCCCCGACGACGTCGCTTTTTGTCGGTCAGTTCTTTGTTAGGCCGTACGCATCTCGATTACCCGCCACAAAAAGGTACACGGGCCTATCCAAAAAGCGACTGTGCGCTCGAGCGCGAGCTCGTGGCTCGTCAACAAACTCGTCGTGGCCGACGGCTATGCGTGGCGCGTGGTCGCAGCCTGTATCAATGTTCGCTCCCGCGAATAATTCGTCAAGCTTCAAGTAATGGAGCTCCGTGCGAAAACGTGGGTGCTTGGATTAGTGCCTACGGCGGCGCGTGGGCGCGTTGATCGCGCCTCGCAGCGACGGAAGGACTCAGGCTGTACCACGTCGCCCGAGTTATGCGACCGAGAGGACCAGGTACTCACTGCGGTGACGATCGCCGCTGCCGTTGTGCGCCAGCAGCTGCAACGAGCGTCCACTGAATCAATGGACAGTGCAGCACGAGCAACTGTCTGCGCTCGAGAGCTTCTTCTGCCGTGCTGCGACCAAGAGTGCTGAGGCTGCTCTCGTGCGCGCTTCCCACGCGTGAGCACGTCCATTCGCAGTGCATCTGGCGGCCGCGAACTTCAATACAGGTGCTGGCGTAGTCTGTCCTCCTCTCATGGGAGGAGTGAGGCTTTGCATCCAGCGACATACAGTGCAGCAATTGAACGCCTGCTTTCGACGATGGTGAGACAGCCTCGCATCGGCGCTTGGTCGCTAGTGGGAAAACGACTGCTACTGCTCACCGAGCTTGACGCGGAAACGAGTGGCGCTAGTTCGCAGTAGTGCATATTGGTGCTGCAGTTGCAGGTCGATGGAATTGGGGCATTGGTCGAGCTCGTTGGTGTGCCGAAAGACAGCAAGATGTCCGGCACTTGACAGTGTCCGTGTGCCTGCGCTGCAATTGATGACGATGTGACACTGCTGTGCGCTCGCGACGTTACACACGCTATCTACGAGCGGGAGGCTGGTGGGGTCTTAGTGGCAGATAGGCGTTTTCGTGAGGCGTTTGGCGCTGACAAGCGAAGATTGATGCGGCTCTGCTGCTGCGCCCATAGCTGTATCCGCATGTTTACTGTAACTGCGCGGCGGATCGGTACATTGAGCCGGTTTGGTCAGCGACGCCCACATTCAACACGATCGTCAAGACAGTGAGCTGCCTAGAATTACGGCGCGTGATGACACGTGCAGCCCGAGATAGCCGACACTGCTTCCTTTTCATCGTGGACGAAGACACCCATGGGCCGTTTCCCGGCTCACTGCCCTAGTCAGTCGATACCGTCGTGTACGATGGAGCCAGCTGTCTCACGTCATGATTATGACCGAAGGCGTGCAGCTCTGTCTGTGCACATGAACGAACAGCCGAGAAGCTGTTGCAGTTTGAATACCAGGTCTGGTCGCACTTTACTTCAAAAGCGGCTGTATTGACCTAGTCTTGTGAGTTCTCAACTGATGACGATAATAAGATGTTGTAGCGACGAGGAAGGCTTGCAACTGCGCCGGCGTCTAAGCTAAAGCTGGGAGAAAAGCAGACGACTAAGCGACAAAGGAGAAAGCTCATCGGCAACAACCAAAGCGACCGCGAAGGATACCGACAGGAACGAGACCGGCGACAGCGCGAGTGGTCCGTCGATGCGGAAAGCGGCGCAACACGGCACTTCCACAGCCAGAGGATCGCAGGAGATCCACCATTTGGTCGAGAGAGCGGGTAGATATAGACTCGGGTCCGATATAAACCGAATGGGAGCCGCAAGTGTCGTGTACAGATTGATTACTTGCTACACCGGGCCTGGGCTTGTTGCGAGCCCGAAGGGCAGACTGACTACTACGTGTACCCGATGTGATGGCAAAACGTCTCGGCAGCTGCTTTCGGTCGATGCGGGGAGTCTGTCTATCCATCTATCTATCTATCTATCTATCTATCTATCTATCTATCTATCTATCTATCTATCTATCTGTCTGTCTGCCTGTCTGTCTGACTCTCTCTGTTGAATGTCTCTCTGCCTATCCGCATGTCTCGCACAGACGGACTAATGGATCCAAGAGCGATCGATGGCGAACAGCACAAAGACGCTCTGGCCCAAGCGGCACCCATGAAGGAAGTACGTACGACTGACTGCCTTTGCAACAAACAACAGATCAGCAACAAATTGATAATGCCCAGCGCTTTCTTTAGCCGTCGCAGTCGCTGTTGATGTTGTTGTGGTTGTCACTGTCTCATGCACGAGATCAGCCGTCGTCTCGCCGTTTCCTCCACCGGCTCTGCAACATCCCAACAACACCAGCGAATGAGGTGCTGCACATCCAAACTAATGCCGCAGACCACGACCAGAAGGAGGCAAATTTCACAGCGCACACACATTCCCACGCACCCCCACCCCCACCCCCTGAGGCAGACCCCATTTCCGGAAGTGGGTGCGTGCATATCGACCGTTTGGTGCAGTTTCACGGGCCGGGATTGCGTATACCCAATAGCGAGCGACAGAAGCTACTGCTCGGTCCAACTGTTGACAACCTGCTACTTCATCCTCTCGGCGCCATCGTTTTTCCTATTTATAGACAACACGGACGTTGAAGTCAACAGGATGCGCTTAGGTTGCACCAAGGTTGCATCTCGTCAAAGCGAACATTTACAGTAGCGCCTCGTCCTTTTCGCGGTATTTCGGCCTCTCGTAGAGAAATTCACAACGTCGGACGCGCGGGCTTGACCCCTCTCTCGACCGCTCTGCCGGCGCAATGAACGACCCGTTCTTCAACGAGGTAACCGCTTTAGCTCCTCCGTCTCGTGGTGTGCTTTGGACTAACTTCTTGGCTCGTATCGTGTGCTGTTCCCCCTTGAAACGCGTTAGGATGACGGCGACTTTGACGACTTGTACGGCATTCCTTCGCAATCGTCCGCTCATTCCCTTGCGGCGAAGCACGAGCCGCCGCACGTAGACAGCATACCCCCTTCTCATCCGTTTGTACTGGATACTCCGTCCTCTATGCAGAGTCCGGCAGCGGCCGGCAGCGTCGTGTCCAGATCGTACGTGCGCGATCGAACCGACTCGTTTTCTAGCGTTGCCACGGACCGAGTCGTAGCGTCAGGGCCGCAGACAAAGTGGCGGAAAAACCACAAGAACAAGACACGTCGTAGAACGAGTCAGGAGCTGTTTAACGTGCAGTGGGAGTCGGACGTTCACGTGGCTACGTGTCGACTATGCCGCTCGGACTTTTCGCTCGTGAAGCGCAAACACCACTGCCGTCATTGTGGACGTGTCGTGTGCTCGGATTGTTCGTGCTTTGTGTACTTTGAGTTTTCGCGTCGAAAGCACAGAGTGTGTGCGACGTGCAACAACCAGCTGCTTGCTGAGCAAGACGCGTACGAGCGAGAAACAATGACGTCGTCGTCTGCTGTGATAAAGCCTCAGCCTCGTGACGGAGGTGCGACGACAGCAAACAAGACGGAAAAGAATGTACGCAAGGCAGAAAAACAAAGGAGGGGCGAGACGGTGGAACATGAAGGAAAAGCAGCACTGGGATCAGCACCGGTGACAACGTTTCGTATTGACGCAATGGACGTTGAAAGTAAAGCTGTGGCAAAAGGAGAGACGCTTTTCGAAGATGCGGACGGGAGTTGGTTTACAGATGCGGCGAATCGGCAAGAACACTCTTGTGGTAGTGTCGTTGACGAGAGTGAGGACGGTGGTTCGAAAGGACCGGGCTGGCGGGACCGCGTGAAGGATACGTATACAGTCGCGCCTGCGACTGACGAAACTTCAGTGCTTGCACCGTTTGCCGGCAGCACTCTGACTTCCGGAATCACTGGCAAAGGGTACATCTCGGACCAATTTCGATATGATGATGTCAGTGGGCCTGGTCTCGGACACGAAGGTGATACAGTTGCTGAGATGCCTCGACCGGAGCAACATAGTCACGCCAGAATGGATCTCACCGAGAGCGCTATGAAGCCCAGATGGGTATCCGGAAATGGCATTTTGGTCGAGCAATTAGAGTATGCGAATCTAGGTGGTCCGGGACTTGGTCACGAAGACGACCGTTCAGTTGCTATGCCCCGACCTGCGCAGCTAGCAACGACGGTACCGTATAGTTATGAAAGCAAACGACGTGATCGAAGGGAATCGAAACAAGATACGACGGACGACGGCACACCAAATGAACATGATCATCAGACACGAACTGCTCTTGGAAACATGGTGAGCGCACCAAAGCACCGTGATGCAGCACTAGTGCGACAGAGAGAGAAGTCAAAAGTCGGCAAGTTTCGCGCTCGCGGCACTCAAGACATGACGTTGGACGAACTGAATTTATCATGCTCATCACAAGATGAGCCTCGTATGCTTGGTTTGACCGTGGCTATCCCGGCTACTGCTCAGCCGACATTCTACGAGCAAGATGCAGATAGATTGGTCGTTGATGATTTACCGGGGTATTTCGAGACAACAATAGCAGAGCGAGAAGTCCAGCGCGAAAAAGATGAACGACGACAAGAGCAGGTTGCCCGCGACAATGCGTGGGTGAATAAGGCAGTGGTGCCACGTCGCTTGTCAAGTGGGCATGGGTCTTATAGCATCGTAGACCGTCCATCGCATACTTCAAACCCTCCTGTTGTGAACCAAGAAAGTAGAGCTGACGATGCGGAGGACAACGGAAAGGGCGCAAAACCGAAGAGCGGCTTCACTAAGGTTCTCAAGCGTTTCTTTGGTATGCGGCCGAAGAAGAAGTCTGCACCGCCGAAGAAGTCCGAACCACTTCTCACTGTGGTGGTGTCTCCGCCAAAAAAGGACATTGTTGATCATCACGCCTCACCTGCGCCAAGGGTCAACAACCGTGACAGCATCGTTTCGGCTAGTTCCGCTCCAGACGGTTTGCTACGACAAAGCAATGTTATTGCGGACCGCAGTAGCGTCGATCAAGAAAAGTCGGTGACTGAGAAGAACCTTAGATATACCGTAGCAACGCTTGCCGATGTGCCTCTTGGCGCGGAAGCCCCGTTGCCTCAACAGGAAGATGAGCTGAAGCAGCACCACCAAGAGCCGGAGCGTAAACGTCGGGGAACGTTTGATGATCTCTTCATGTCACCAAAAGACATTGTAGCTTCGAACAACTTTGGCGGGCACATCGGTATAGGTGGCACGAGTGGATGGGCCTCTCGTGCTGGGCTGGACTTGAATGCTGGTCAACCGTCAATTGGCGCAGTAGGTGTCGCTCGTTTCGACCAACGAAGGCCTGCTGGCGAAGACGATGAGCATACACTCGGTAACAAGCCCGCCCCTGCTGTCGGCTCAAGTCAGTCTACCGAGGACTCCACTGAGGCATGGAGGGAATCTGCAGCATTGTTGCTGCTACAGGATCGAAGAGATAGTGCCCAGGACTCGGGCTTCACCTGGAGCCGTATACAACCGGTCCCTGGACTTGGAACGGCAACAGACGCTATATCGACGAGTCTGCAGTCTTATGCGGCCTACAATGAGAATCGTGGGGTCTCAGTGTCACACAAGACACCCGTTTTGAAACTTGCCTCAACGGGTGGCATTATGGACGACTTGAAGCACGGTTCGACGCTGAGTAAACCGCAAGGCGAGACGTCAATCGATGAATTCTTTGCCGAGTTCGAAGAAACCAGCGAATACGTTTTCGACTCAACCACGGGTGGGTACGTAGCAGCACGGGTCCCCGTACGTGCAGCGACTACAAGAAATGCCCAGCAGCTGGAATCCACAGAACCGCTAGGATCAGAGAAGTATACACTCGATACGGATGACCATAGATACGATACTCTGTCGGCAACTAAGAACGGTGGGAGTGGGAGTGGAGTGGTTGTCGAAGACGAGGTCGCCGAGATTATTGTGGACAAGATCAGCTCTCTCGAAAGCGAGTTGGCAGCACTGAAGAAGTTGATTCGCAGTCGAAAAGGAAGCGGGGATAACCAGTCTCGGAAGCTACACAATGGTCGTGGTATGGTGGACTCAAGTGCTCGCAAAGAAAGCATTTTTGACCATGACAGCAGTGACGAAGATGATGGCAGGTCTGGTGACTCATACGGCGTGTCGATTCGACCAAAGTTGGAACAGAAGCGACGAAGACGCGGCAGCAAGAAGAGGCTCATCAAGGAGCGGAAGGACTCGTTTGTCGACCTATTTGCGGACAGTCCGAACGAACACCAATCAGTTGGCGGTGCACTTTCTTACAACGCTCTGTCTCGAAAAGCGTTCAGCAACGACGATTCCGATTCTGAGACTGAATCCACGTCACCACAGAATCGACAGGGCAAGCAGTCATCTCAGTGGACAATAGATGAGGACGTATACGATGCGAGCTCCAGCGTGGATGCGACTATGATGTCTGCGAAACTGTCTACGAAGCAAGCGACAACAAGAAAAGCAGGCGCGGAGGCTTTGGAAGACCCGATCGACGCTTTGTTTGACACGTCAAAGGACCGTGATGTGACTAAATTGTATGGTGGCGAGGACGGTCATGATGAAAAGGACAAACGTTCTGTGCCTGAGTCAAGGGACGTGCTCGTCCGGACCTCTTCGGACGATGAGGTGAGCGGAAGCGCGGCCGCTGTCACAGACAATATTAGCTCTGTGGTGCCGGGTAGCATCGCCGCCCCCAGCTCCTCGCACTCTGTGAACCTACCAGAGTTCGGTGCAGCCGACGAAGATGAGGACTTTTCAATCAACTGGTCAAAGATGCGCAAAACAAAACCCAGGAGACACAAATCTCATCATGTGACCGGTGAAAGCAGTGCCACCACCGATGGGAGTGTGGAGCTTGCGGAACTCAACTTGTATGCCGAGGAGCTGAAACTAAGTACTAGTGATATTCCTGTGGAACATACAGCTCCAGTACCGTTTGTTGTGGATGCGTCATCAACGGTTCGTACAGCGGAAGATGAGGCGATTAACTTGAGTTCCAGAGGTGGTGAAAGTTCGGAGTCGCAGTCTACTAGTGAAAGCCCGCACTTGGAAGCAGCTATAGATGCTGTGCCGAGTTCGGGTGTTCCGGCGCGAAAACGAAATGATCCGGTGGAGCAATCGTTGCTCGCCAGCATTGGATCAGTGGAAAAGCTTGCAGACACGACGGTGGAGGTCTCGTTGATGGATGTAGCCGCTTTTGACATCTTTGACAAGTCCGGAGACGTGGATATCTCGTCGATGTCTTCATTGACAGGAGCGAATACACCCGATGGTCAAGATGACTGCTGTGATAGCGATGACAACAATGCGTCTTTTTCCGGAACCGACGAGACATTCAGTTTTGAGCTTCAGACTCCGAAAAAGCGGCTTCCTGTTGATGCACCGACCAAACATTTTACCACCCGAACGGATTCAGACCCGAGCGAGTCTTCCCTCGAATTGCCTACATTATTGGAGCTTGGTAAATACGCAACAGCGTCAATACCTTCATCGTCGCGCACTCCATCCATAGACGGCAGTATTGATGATTTGGAACACGCGTCAGTGGATGATGATTCGGTGATCGAAGGAAGCGTCGGGTCTGAAGCATTTGCCATGGACTGGCAGCAAATGCAGGCAAAGGAAAAGGAGCGCAAGAAGAGACTGCAAGTCAAGCAGAGACAAGCCCAGCGAGATAAAGTACTACGAAAGCAAAGTAGGCCGACGACATCTTCCTCTGGCAGCGTTGTGACGCATGGGTCAAGCAAAAGCAAGTCGAAGAGCGACAAACAGAAGAAAAAAGGTGCTGACAAAGACGACGCAGCGTCATCCTCTCTGCATCATCACAAGAAGAGTGGCTCGTCACGAAAGCATCATGGAAGCGCCACAAATCGTGCGCCCGTGACAATGTCGGACCCTTCTCGAACACTAACAGATCTCTGATAGTATAAGCATGAACCAAATGTTGTCAGTCAATTCAATCAACAAACCATTGTACTCGACAGCAAAATTTTACACAATAGATATGGGTAGGCGTTCGCTCTCAGTCGAGTCCATCCTACCGCCAGGAGAGCATTTTGTGATTCGCATCAATGCTTTGTGCGTTTCAATGGCTTTTGGTGCAGTGCGAGCAGCCAAAGACGGTGGACCGAGGGTATGATGTCCTCCACAGCAACGCGATCATTCGGATTGGCTGCCCAGCCAGCTTCGAGGATTTCAGCGCAGGCTTTCGGTATGGTTGGAAACAGTGCTGGCCTGTCCCCACAAGCCACAAGGCGGTACACTTCAAGGTGAGATTTGGCTTCCCACGGACTTCGTTCAGGCACCATAATCTGCCAAAGCGTGATCATCAGGCTGTATACGTCCACCGCCGTGCCGTAACGCGCTGTCTTGCCACCTTTGATCATCTCCGGAGCCATGTAGTCGACCGTGCCAGCAATCGTCATCGTTCCATCAGACCGGGGCCGCAGCAAATTGGCTTCGCCAAAATCCGCGAGCTTGATGATGAAATCCTGACCCACGAGGAAGTTGTCCGTTTTGATGTCTCGGTGAAGGAGCGGAGGCGAGAAACTGTGCAAGTAAGCGACCGCACGACATGCGTCTAGCCATGCTTTAAGCTTGGCAGCAAGTGTCCAGATCTTGGGCTGTTCCCGCAAGATGGCGTCCAATGCACCGTACTCGCAAAACTCGAAGATAAGGGAGATCGACGGCGGCACCACACACAAACCGTAAAAGCGAACGACGTTCGGGTGGGACAGCTGTACGTTCAATGCCGTTTCTCGCGAAAATCGCTGTACTTCTTCGTTCGTCACTTGCACGTCAGTGTAAATCTTCAGTGCAATAGGTACGGGAGTACTTCTCCGCAGTGTCCCGCGCATCACTACAGAAGTAGCACCCTGCGCGATAATACAGTCCAGTGCTAAAGCTGAGAAGTCCACGACGTTGTGCCGGTGCTCCTCAATCATGTGATGAACATCGTACACTGACGTACGAGTGGAAAAGTTGGTGATCATACCGCGCTCTGATAGCAGATTCACGTAGCGACGTATTGCACTCTTTGACCCGGTCTTGCCCGATCCATTGTCGTCGATGGCCAACCAGTAGCGAGTATCGGCTCGCAGAGATAGCAAGACAGCGACGACAATCAGAGCGTCCATTCCAGTAACAATGCAGTGAGCGATCGGCAATATCAACGCTTCATCCACATGAGCGAGCCCCATCATCGAACAAGTGATGTTGGCCAGCGATGTCACCACGGCAGCAACGAAAAAGAAGTCGAAACTGGCCCGGGCGTGGAATACAAACTTGGCCCAGAAGTAAAACAAGAGCAGCAGAATATAGATGGTCATCTCGGTCGCGTCCACGATGTCGTCGCCGACCTTATACAGTGTCATGCTGCACACGGTAAGGACGACCACCACTGCTCCAGAGTACGCAATCGCGCGTAGCACTGCTTCTTGCGAAACGCTGCGCTGGATCATGAGCATCGGCAGCAACTGCAGCACCCAGACAGTCGGCATGGTAACGATATTACACGGGTACTTCGGATCCTCTTCTAGCGCCAATGCACTGTACGTCTTGCCACTTTCACTGTGGTAAGCCTGGAAGCTACTGGTATACAGTATCAAGCCGATCGCTGACAGCACAGCAATAGTGTACCAAATCGCTTCGTAGCACGGCAGCATGAACGCCGACTCTATTGACACGCAAACGATCGCTCAGCATCTCCTGTCAATGGAATGCACAATGGAATCAAGAGATACGTACTCAAGTTGGAGCTGATGCTGCACGGTGCACTGCGTAGGACACGTTTGCGACTGCGACTGCAGAGCACACCGAGCCACAGGGACACGACGAAAAACACAATGTTGTTCATCGCTGGGATCAGCACGCCAGCCACATACGCCGTCGAGGCCGAGTAGCTGTGCATGCTTCCTGGAACTGTACACCGCGTGACCATGTGAACCTTCTCCGGCGCCGCGCGTGACAACAACTCGGCAGCGCCCACGGCGACCAAAACACTGAGCACCGCCAGCAACAAGACGAGCTTCAGCACGAGCGAGTCCCAATTCGAGACCATGCGTTTCCAGAGCAGCACCAGCGTCTGCTGCGGGTGCCAGCGCGGCAGCTGTCGACACTGACACGTGACGCACGTCTTCAGGCGCCACATGCACCGCGCGCGACGGGCCGCTGGCTCCATCGCAGGGAGGCTCCGCTCGGTTCCATGCAGCGCGTCGCCGCCCCCCGCGCCGCTCTCTCGGCGTCTGCCCAGGACAGCCGCCACCGTCTGCATCCAGCGATCCATTGTACATGGACGACGCACTGGTCGTCGGCGCTTTGTTCCCCGCTCCGTCGCCCGTCAGTCCCGACGGCAACGTCGCATTCGACGTTAATGTCGTCGTTGTTGTCGTTGTTGTTGTTGTTGTTGTCGTCGTCGCTGTTGTTGTCGTTGTTGTCCCACCTGCCCCCAGTACCGTCGTCGCCGTCTGCTGCGGCAGTGACTGCATCGGCGCGTTCGGCAGACACAGCCGCCGTGCCGCGTCCCGCGCCGCCGCCGCCGCCATGTGCTGCTGCACGTCCGTGTCAATGAGGATCGACGCCTCGCGCGTGGGCACAATGTTCGCGGGATTCGTAAACACGCGCGCGCCTGTCACGGGAAAGAGGTCACTGATCGAGTCGATGCGGTCGCGCGGGCGGGCGACAGCGTCCAGCGCGTCGCTGTCCGCGCGCGCGTCGTCGTCTTCGCTGTGGCCCGACGGCGTTCGGACGTGGTACAGCCGCCGGAGCGACGGCGACGATTGGGCCGGACGCGGACAGCGGGCGGTGCTCCGGTCGCTTGCGGGCGGCGGCTGGAGCACGAGCTCTGCGCTGCGGCGCGAGGCTTTGGGGTCGCGCTCTTCGAGCAGCACAAAGGCCGCGGCGGGCGACGCGGCGAGCGCGACGTCACGTGCCGCGGACGCCATGCGAAGTGATACTGTGCGGTGGATCGAGTGATTGGTCGATTGATTGGTCGGTCGATTGGTCGGTTGATTGAGTGATCGGTCGTTGATTGGTTGATTGGTTGATTGGTTGATTGGTGTGTCAGTCGGGTGGATGGGAGGATGGAATATGCTTTGGATCGGACGATGGAGCGGTCTGATCGGAATGGATTACGACGACAGGGGACGACGGGGGGTCGGTGAAGTCGGTGAGGTCGGCAGGTCTCTGGACGTTTGTATGGGGGTATGTATACACACGCGGGCTGGGTATACACGGAAGGTTAATGGAAGCGCGTTCGTTGGGTGTCTGGTTTTATGTGATATGACTTTGGAGTGCGTCGCTCGTCTGATCGGACACAGACGTTTGGTTCTTTTCTTCTTCTGTTGAAGCAGAGGGTTACGCGGACGAGGCCGGTTTATGGTGAGGGTACATTCCACCAAGCAGTTTTTGCTAACTTCCACGCGAATCGGCACAACGCAGCAGAGGTCAATGTGCTTCTTCGGAGTCAGGGAATGAGAAATGATTCTCGATTCTTTTTCGCTCGCTTTGCTTCCGCTCAGCAACGAAAGTGCCATCTGTGGTAGAATCAATGAAACGAGCGGCTACGTCTTTCGCAAACCCTGTCGACTTCGGTAGCTTCCACAAGGTCAAGTTTCTCCATTGCAGCAGGCCCCACGTTCATGACGGGTTATCGCGAAACGAAGATGGACGCCGAAAATTGATGGCAATACCAAGAGATCCACTCCGGCCTATTCAGTTTCATATCTAATTGCACAACATCAGTCTGGTAGGATGTAACCCTTTCAGGATGGGCAACAACCACTAACTCATTCCTCATGGACCAGATGGAAGCATCAGACACTGAACCCAGTACGCGTCTAGAACTCTATCAACCTTGGCCTCATTGCATTGACAAGAGTTTGCCGACGAAGCAGGTTGCGAGATCAAATTGACCGCTAGCTGTCCATCGCTAGCTGTCGGTTGAAGGCTTCGTCCGCAGATGCTTCGTGGCAACAAAGCGACAGCGATCGCGTCGTGTCCTCCATTGCCCTGTCTCCACATCATCAGCAACAAGCCGAAAGCCAACACTTTGCGTGTTTTTCCGGTGTGTCGTCAGGGCCCCATGACAACTGACCAACGATGACATTGACGATTCGGGCGCTGCTAAGGTCAATTCTCTCGCGCTGTCTTTGGGTCTCTGAGTAGCCGAGCAGCGTTTCCTACATGAGCTAGTAAATCATCCACTCATACACGTTTGCCAGATTATGGGCCTATAGGACTGGTACTCGCACCAGCGCTGCGAATGCTGATCGGAATGGTGCCGAAGAAAGCCGTGTCTGTTGATGAGTGTGGTGTTCCCTGCGTGCGTTCGTGAAATCCACCTGCTATATGCTGCGCTGGTGTGGATTGGCATAGGGACCCGACTAAGACAGATCGCTTCGTGAGGTGCAGAGGCGGTTCCAACCGGACTAGCCGTCGTGTGGCGGCTAGTCCGGCTGGAACCGCCTCTACCAGTATTCTTGTGGCTTCCAGTCTCACGATCACTTACTTAAATGACAGCCGAAGACGCGGACCAGGATGGGGCTTGATTAGAAGCAGGGGGTAGAAGGTACATAGAGAATAATAAAAGCAGGGGCTAGAGGGTAGACAGAGAAGACGACTCTACACTTACTTGATGAGACGTAATGTTACTTGTACACCCACGTCAAGAAGCCTTTATCTACAGCTTGCCCCGCACACCCTACCTCTCGTGCTGCAGTAGATTCGAACAACGCCATCACAAACTTGATAGTCTTTGTACGCTCTCGCTTAGACCCTGCCTTCTTCTCGCGGAATAGTTGTACACAGAATAAGTGCCCTGCCGAAATCACAAAATCAGGCCTGCTGCTGGTTAAATGATGGGGTGAGCCTGTTGCATGTAATAGGCACGAATTGTGCCAATGTAAATAATTTCATAATTGATGATGTTTTCCACTATTACCCTTGCAAGTCAATATTGTCGAAATATTACTCTTAGAGGTAATATCCGTCACCGCTCCACCATAGTTGATGTAGTCCATGATATCAACCATATCAACCACCAATCGCTGCTAAACGCGCGCAATAGGTGGTGAGCGAGACCTAACACCGAACGTATGTACTTAAGTCTAGTGTAAGTAAGATAAAGAAGGGCATATGAGGGGGCCTTACTATATATAACATGCAGTTTTACAATCTTCCCTTCTGTTGCTCAGATTCTTTACTTTCTCCGCACAAACGGTGTACGTGAATTTTTGGGAGCGCACACTCTTGAACCTTTACAGTACAAGGGCTCACTATTTATCTGGAATGAAGTGTTCCCCATTACACCTGGTAGCACTTCGTAGTCCGTTCAAGAACCACGAACGTTTTTCCAACAAAAACATGTTGAATGAGGGGGGAAGCTTTTGTGACACGCGTTACAGTTACCTCTATTTGAGTGATACAGAAGGGATAGCGATCGATCAATTGTGTTCTCCCCTAAGTGAGATCGCCGTCAGTGGCATGTTGAAAGGTTCCTGACAGAGACAACGACATGCCATTATCAGCAAGTTAATCCATATTGAACTTACTATCGAAAGGAGAAAGTGGCTCAGCTGGTTAAACAATGTACGGGGCAGCCCGTTACATGGAATTGTCACTTTAAGGAAAGTGACAATAAAGAATATTAAGTTGAATATTCTTTGAACAATATCACCGATAGTGGTGATATTGGTGAGGCGACCAAAGGGTCTGCTCATTGGTTGATATCTTGATGATATCAACCCACCAATCGCCGCAGGACGCGCGCAATGAGTGGTGACGAGACGTCACCATACACTCAGTTATATTAACATAATTAAGTTAAGTCAAACAGAGAGACAGTAGTTAAAAGACTTAATTATATTAATACAACAGTTTTACTTTTTCCTTATCCTACGCTTCCTCGTTCGCCTCGCGTACGCTTGTCGGGGCACCTAAACCCTTGCGTTAAGTTCACGCAAGGGTGTACCCCGTTACAAACAAGGCTCTGAAAATGTTAGCAATAATAATTACTATGTCCTCAACATGCAGAGCTGTTGAGACAGCAGCGAAGCATGCTGCTGTGGGCGATTGGACGCCAGTACGTCGACCCAACAGATTGAAGATTAACATTTCCAAGTACAAAGGAGTCGAGGAACGCTCTATGAAAGGTGGTACTTCAAGTTGGATGGTCCCATAAGAGCTCGTCGCATCGTCGACGCCGAAATGCAAGTCGTATTCGCCCATTCCAACTAGGCTAAGCTAGCCAAGACTTGGACCTTAAGGCTTAATCTTCACAACACAAACGCATTTGATTCATTCTAGGTCTTCAAAGACCAACTCAGGCAGACGTTTGACCCGGCACAAACCGAGTTTAGGGATCGTGCTATGTTTATTAAACTCGGGCAAAATAAAATAGGTGTGCACGCTTTCGCGCAGCATATCCGATACCTTTCGAGATGCATTAATGCCAGTACGAAGGACGAGCAATCTAAAGTCATTGTGTTTATCCAGGGTCTTGTTGATAGGTATGTCAGGACCCATCTAATCCGCCTTTAGCTAGAGTCACTAAAACAAACGATCTTATAAAGAAAAGGGATCGCCTTTGGTTGAAGACAGGATCAAATTAGTTCATATGCCTTTCGTCAATTAAGATGATCGGAAACAGAAAGTCCGTAATCGATGGACCTCTGTTACATGGAGAGCGAGTACGCTCTCTCTCCAGGATACACATTTCATACATGCAGTCGCTATCAAAAGACAGACCACTACGCCTATAGGTATAGTGCCCCGAGCCCCCCCTGTCTCACGCACGACCGTTAAAAAGACCATCCGTCAGCCAAAAAGGTCTCGAGACGCGGGTTCGGCAATGTTGCTAAACTGCAACAACGAGGTGGACCGTCAAACATGGTCGGGTGGGGCTAAATGATCTGCTTATCTTGCAACGCCAACATGAATGCAAGTCCTTTGAATAAAGTTACTTTCAACACGACGTCATTGTGTGTTACTGCTGCTGGTATTAAGGTATACCTTATCACCTTGAATTTGAAAGCGAAGAACGCCGTGTTACTTCAAACTCAATTTAACTGTAAGGCTTCAAGAAATTTTTATCTACACCAGTCGCTAGAGTCGTAGGCTTAAGTACATTGAGGTCGAGACTCTACAACTAGGGTGACGGTGCGCCTTGCAACAGGCGCATCTATAACAGCGAAGAAAGGTGCAGTCTCTTTCCATCACACGATAGAAGAATAACAAGACGAAGATGATTTAGTCACATTGAACTTGGATAACAATTCGATGTCACCATTGGTCTACCGTGGATCAGAAGGTAGAACCTATTGATCAGCCGGTAGAATCGATCCGTGAAGACGCATGCCACTTTTTTATCAAATGGCCATCTGATGAACATCTTGAAGCGTTTATTATCGCGTTAATCTTCTATGAATGATTGAGACGGCCTCACTTAATAGTCCGGCCATATCACGACTGAATAAGACCTCAGTGTACCTGGTCACTACATTGTGGAAAAAACTGGCGGTGAATGTGGTGATATACAAGCAGAGCCGAAGGTCGGCCACTAGAAACTGTCGAGTGAACTGGTACACGGATACATGCCTAATAGGAATCGTTCAAGGAAGAAGACATCTGTGACCCAGAAGATGCAACAAGGTAATCGTAGATCAAGTGACGAGCTCACCGGAGTTAAACTGACTCTGGAAGTGTCACTGCAGCTAGGAGACACTGATAAAAAACTTCTTCCGGGTATCCAAAAAAGAGGTACCCAGGAAATAGCTGAGGCATTGCATGCAATGCTGATATCCGATCAAGTGTCGACGCTTATACGCTTCATCTGGTATCTCCTCCGAATTGAACTTCGGGATTAAGTTAGAACCGACGCTAGAACTAAAAGGGTTCTTGTGAGATTTGCGATGTGGCAAGGTCAAGAAAATGTAAGCACTCGCAG